ATATATTATATGCAGAAGATGTGATGTGATAATGATGAGGTGTGATTGACAATTTTTTTTTCTCGCTTAACTACGAAAAACTGTTTGTAACCACGCCTCTTCAGCATGTTTCGGTATATTCGGTTTATTTAAAAAAAAATAATCCAGGGACTTTTATTGTACTAATGTAATATTTATATTTTTTGGACAAAAATGTGGTTTATGAATGATCTTTAAATTTATTTTTATTCAGATTTTTTTCAAAATTTCATAACAATAGTCATGATAACGAAAATGCGTGAAGCTATTGATTTACTTTATGTTTTATTCGATTTAGAATAACTAAATCCATATAAATTGACTCCTATTCGAGCTTAATGGTTATATTTCATTAGTTTTAAATATTATTCATAATATACATTTAGATTTATGTTATATATTACATTATATATTGAAGATGTGATGTGCTTATGATGAGATATGATTGTAATATTGTTTTTCGCTCAACTAAGAAAAACATGTTTGTAGCACGCATCTTCAGCATGTTTCGGTATGTTAAAAACAATTACTCTAATCACTTTTATTGTACTAATGAAATATTCGTATTATTTGGGAAAAATGTGGTTTATAAATGAGCAGACTTGAAAATATATAATACTTTGTTTCACGTCTTCATTTATTATTCACATCTGAAGTTATTTAGTTTTAAAAAAAATGATTATTTGACTAATTGAAAGACTTTTTAATGGATTCAAAGAATACTTTCAATCAGTAAGGTAATTAAATAATATTTAAGCTTAAGTATTTAGTTTCATATTTTGAAAATACTATAAAACTATATATATTTAAATATTTATTAAACCAAATCAGATTTCTTTAAAATTTAAAAACTAATAGTCATAATAACAAAAACACGTAAAGCTATCGATTTATTTTTTGTTTTATTTTATTTATAGAATAAGAAAATACATATATAATTACTTCTATTGGGGCTTTAAGGTCATATTTCCCAATTGGATAATGTTTTTTCCTAAAATAAGGTGTTTTGTACCACTGTGCAAACGATTATTCTTATATTATTGTCCAAGTGTTTTCACGTCATTATATCCATATGTTCAAATTTACTAAATGTATCTCTTTATACAGTTGTAAATATCATTAAGAAAAAGAAAAAATATTTTTGTGTTTTCATTAGTTTTCAATATTATTTATATTATACATTTATATTTATGTTATTATTATATTATATACGGAAGATGTGATGTGATTATGATGAGATATGATTGAAATATTATTTTTCGCTTTACTACGAAAAAATGTTTGTAACACGCCTCTTCAGCATGTATCGGTATATTTAAAAAAAAAATAGTCCAATCACTTTTGTTGTACTAATGAAATATCTAAATTATTATGAGTAGTTTATAAATGAGCAGACTTGGAAGTATAAAATAGTTTGTTTTAGATCTTCATTTAGTTTCATATTTTGAAAATATTATAAATCAATATATTTATTAAGCCAAATACTATTAAATTTATTTATGTTCCGGTTGTTTTAAAATTTAAAACATAATGCAGTCATAATGACGAAAACTCGTTAAGCTATCGATTTAATTTTAAATAAAAAAATTTAATTAGAATTAATGCCTAGTCGAGCTGTACGGTCATGTAGTAAGGTGGGAGATGTTTTTTTTTTTCTGAAAATAAGGTGTTTCGCATCTCAGTACAACGATATATTATTTTGTTTTTATAAGTTTTAAATATTATTTATATTATACGTTTAAATTTAGATATTTAGTCATATATTATATTATGTACAGAATATTTGAAAGTGATTATAATGAGATATAATTGAAATATTATTTTTCGCTCAACTAAAATAAAATGTTTATGACACGCCTCTTCAGCATGTTTCGGTATATTTAAAAAGTTACCTATCGGTGTATATAAAGAAAATACTACATTCACTTTTATATTACTAATGGAATATTCGAATTATTTGGAAAAAATGTATTTATAAATTAGCAGACTTGGAGTATTGAAAAGCCCTCAGCTTTTCTCGCGCGTGTATGACTTTTGAGCAGATGTTGACGATCCGATAGAATATGTGCATATATATATATATTTATTATTCTTAATATATATAAAATATATATATATATATATATATATATATATATATATATAATATATATATATATATATATATATATATATATATATATATATATATATATGTATATATACACTAGGGAAGAGAGAATTCTGAGATTATATGGTCAGGAAGAATTGGTTTCCTCTCGCACTGCAGGCCTGGAGAAGTTTATTACAAAGGCTTTGGAGGAGGAATTGAGACCTTACGTCATAAGTCTGTTCCAGTGTCTGGAGTATTAACTGTCTCTGGACAAAAAGTACGGTCTTGTCCAGCGTCTTTATTACGGATGTGTCCTGGTGTCTCATATCCCATCTTTCTAGAGGTAGACTACTTCTATTGGTACGTTCCTACACAGGATAAATATAAGACATGGGTGTCAAATCTTAAGTCTAAACAGTATCACTATAAATAAATTACCGAAATAAATAAAAATAAGGGTCAGTTACTTGTCACCTCTTCACAGGAACGGTTATCCAAATAATACTTGTTTAGTTCAACGCTAAATCTAACTTTCAGGTCATGATTTATACTGGTAACCAGTTTCAAGATAAGAATATTCATACATTTTTTGATGAAGTTTTTTGGTATCAATAACTTATAATTGGACAGCACAAATCATTACCATTGTACGTATATTCTATAGCTGAAAACAATTTTGATTAATTAAGAAATTTTCCACACAAAAGAAGAAAAATATTTCAGTTATTCTGTTACTATTTTATTATGAACCCATCAGGCTAAAAATAATAATTAAAGTCGTACACGTTTTTTTTTAAGGTTTCAAACTCAAATCAGGTGTAAGCTAACCAGAAAAGAATAGGATCAAAAATCTCAATAAAAATCGGCAATGTTTTTTTTACAAATATGGATCAATAAGAGAGTGCTATAAAAAAAACATGTTATTATTGGAAATGAAAGCTGTTAAAAGAAACTTTTTATCGCTGCATATAAAAGTTTTACTTTATTAATATATTTGGTCATGCGTTTGATGTATATAACCCTTTTCACTCGTAATCCTGTTTACCTTTTTTATTCATATAGAATTTTCTTTTGAATCTTATTTTTTCCTCCAATAAAATATTGAATAGAAAAATCATTAGCTTTCAATCAGATCATTTCTCTACACGAAAAGCATGGTTAAGCCTTATCATTTTGGTAACACGTTATGCAAATATGTAATTTAATATCGGTATAAAATCATTAGTTTTTAGAATAATCGGGAACTACAACTCAGTTAATACCATTCATATAGCACCACGCCAAAACGTAATCTTCTTTATTAATGGAATATTTTTTTTATTTATTTATTTAGAAATAGAATAATCTGTCTGGTGGACAATAATTATAGTAAAATATGAACACATTCACACCATATATAAAGAAAACATAAAATTAACAAAAGTAAAATAATAATTAAATAATAATCAAAAAACTATATACAATGAAAAATAAAATAACCTAAAGATAATTAAATTAGAAACATTTAAAAAGTCATACTTATATGCAATATACACAATCAGGCTAGGAATCCCAAGCCAGACTTGTCCCTCCAACTATAAAGGGAAAAGAAGAACTCCAAGAGATCCCTGCGCTACTCTCTAAACCGAGTCACTGGTGTTCAAGCCAGTGGAGATTTAAAGAGAGCGCTTTAGCCACATACACTCATGTCTTGAGTGGAGAATCCCATTGCCAGAACCCCAAAATATATATTACGAAACATCTCCAGGCCACTGCCGCTTCAACCTTCGAAGAGGATTGTAGGGATGTGTAGAACTAGATAGGAATTTGGATTTGTAAGGTTCTGATGGAATTCGGAAAAATAATTTAGGGATAAGGTCTAGGACAAATGAAATATTAAGGTCATGATGTAGAGTTTTGTTGGGTACATAGATTGCAGCATTGATTATTGTTGTTATAAATTGCTATAAATCGCAACTAATTTTACAGTTATTGTGTAGTGTGCATGTATTTTAGTTGTTATTTTGATTAAGTTAGTTCTTTTGTCTATATACATTTATTTTCATTATTATTAGTTTCTGTATTATTTATTTTTATTTATTGTAATTAAAGTGTGATTGTGCCCTCTGAACACTATTATAAATGTCCTTGGTTATGACAGAATGTAATATTTCTAAATAAACAAATATAAAAAAAGAATTTACAGTAACTTGCCCTTTCCCAAAAAATGAAAATACTAAGCTTATAATTGAAATGATTGTGGGTGAATAATTGGTAGGACCAAAATCCAGAAGATATAAATCTCATACAACCTGTAAAAATACAACTATTTAATATTATAAATGTATGTATCATATTATGATACATTTTAAAAACATTAATAAGAAACACTAAATTGGTAAAAATAACTGATGAAGATTTGAAAACATCACCATAATGAGGTGGACTAGCTTTCCTGTAGTTCAGAATCCTATCCTTCGAAATAATTCTCTTTAATCTTTAAGCTTAAAGAGTCGGCTACTTTTGTTTTCTTACTCTTATAAATAATGTATACTCTCAAGGGAGCTTTCATGGGAACGATATGATGCATGCTAAAGAGTTTCTCGCGTTTAAGCATCATTTTTGTATTTATTTGCATTCTTTGTTTAGCTCTTTTAAATATTAAATCAACTTGTTTATTAGGATGGAATAGACGATAACCGTTCATCAGACATAATGTGTTAATATCTTTGTTTTAAAATCTCTGAGTGAATCATATTTTATCTACATTTTAAAATGTTCGGTAAAGATTCATCTCATCTTCGTTTCGGTCTCACCTTAGACACTTGAAAGTCGCTAAAGAGTTTGTTAACATTTTAGGTATTCGTTTTTTACTAAACCCAACAATTTACACGATCGTTTTATTCACCACATGAGTATTCACCATCTGAGATGGTACCCAAGGCATACAATACAGTTCATGCTCAGCCATGGTCCACGGAGCAGTTTATCCTGTTTATCCCGAAACTCTGGCCTTGGACTCTCATCACGAATCCTTCTTGGAAACTCCGAACTTAATAGGGCTAAAGAAGAAGTTAGTCGGAGGGAACGCTCTCCCGCAAAGCAGATGGTGGGTGCTTCGTCCCCTTAAGCAACGGATATTAAAGCCATTTGGATAGCGAGTCTAATAAAGACTGCTTTAATTTTTATTTCGAATTATGAAACCATTTAATCTTCAGAGTTCACGTTTCAAAATTCCTCTAATTTTCCCTCTTGCCCGCCTATCCAAAAGTTCCTAATGTCCCTCGTAATTCGTGGAGAAATTTACTGTGGCTTCTTTATTAATTTTTCTTAAATTATAATTGAGATTTTTAATAAAAGCTAGGATAATATTCATGCGAATATGATTATTATAGGAAATAAACTTATTGTTCTTTTTTTTTTTTATTTCTTAAAACTAGGTTAAGTGACCACTTCTCTTGCGAGTTTATTATGAGGGATTAGGACTGATAAAACACACATTCGTCAGCAGTTTTAAGGATTCAAAATCTTAAATTTATATATATACTACTCAATCAATCTTTAAAATTGATGTATTATACTGTCTCTGTATTGTAACTACCTATATAGTCATGAACACTGAAGTCTTCAGATTTTTTTTTACCTTTCACGAAATTTATTTATTATAATTTAAGGTAAATATCTATTGCACTTGACTTGGTTATATTAAAAGTATGTTAAGTTATATATTTGGCTGCTAAGATTATCTTATGTACTCGTATATAATATTCTCTCATACTTATATTATATACACTTCATTATATCACTACGAACGTTGAAGAATTGTGCATTAACGTAATCAGAAAATCGTGAGCTTGTTGTAATTATATTATATTTATGAGGGTTTTATATTATTTTAGTGCACTATGACCAGATTAACAATAATAGTTAATATAATTCCATTGTCATACGTTAGATATAAAAAAAAAGAACGCATAATATTACAAAAATTCTATATAATACAAGAAACTTGCACCACAAACAAAATAAAATGCTCCTTTCATATTAACTTATAAATTATAAACAAAATATTTGCATGATTATTACAAACAAGAAGAAATATAAATAAAAAAACAAAATAATTAAAAGTAATAACTTAACTTAAGTCCAGTTCAGCAGCAGATACAATTGGCTATTATATCGCGATTTGCTGGTGTTGTGAAACAATTTAGACATCCATCTCTCTACTCCGACATCTAGATGGTAGAGGATGATCGTGAACGAGAAAATATCCAATATTATCTCTTGTAGGCTAGGCTCAGAATGTGAGACAATCCCCGGTTCGATACGATAGAAAGCCGCTCGCTACTTTTCAAATGATTTTATTTGGTATTCCTAATCTCATTACGGCATCACAAATTGGTACGCTAAGAGAGAACGAAGACAAGAGACTCTTCACAGTCACCTGTTCCATAAATAACCGTAACCATAGTTACAGCACTCACTGTTTTTTTTTTAATTAATAAATAAGGTCGCTCCACCAAAAATGTACATCTTAAATAAGATATCTAAAAGAAATTAATATGGAGTGTTTCGATAGAGATGACAGTAATTGTAGTAACTTCCATTGTAGCAGATGTTTATGGAATTGATATGAACTGTATGAGTGTTTATGTCTTGATAGCGTTTGGTATGGTGACAAGTACTGCCAAACGTTAATTGACTTTAAATTATATTTATTCGAGGCATGGCCACAACTAACATGCCCGATAGCACCCGAAGGAGGCTTAAAAGAAGCTGGATGAGGGATCTCCTCCACTAACTATAAATATTACGCTCAAGACAGGAAAGACGCCGCTGGGTACTCCTCTCCCTCACGCCTATTCCAAGACCAATATCTTCATCTTGACATCAAACTCGCTGATTGTCGGAACTTCTGAGAGGTGTGAGTTGAAGAATCAAGTAAAAAAAAAAAAAAAATTATATTTGACTACCTGCCATGGCAGCGAAACCGACAGACGGTGATCTGTTCCACTTGTCGCCATGTCCTTTGAGACAGATTGTAATATTTTTCAGTAAATAAGTTTTTTAAAAAAACTTACAATTTGTATAAATAATTGTTGTGATTGTTTAAGCTTAAAGTAAATTAGGTTGAAGCTTTTGTCAAGTAACAAAGGGATATACTCTTAATAAGGAGATAAATAGACCTTAGTATTCTTGTTGGTGGGGGGTTTGATGCCTTGTTGATTAATATTATTATTGTAAATATACTGTGTATACATTTCAAGTCATTGAGGTATTATGACTTCATTTTGTTGTACGGTTCCCTTGGATCCGTGGATCAGCACGCTGAGGAGGGAACAGGGCAAGCAATTACCGGTAGCGGGTAGGTCCTAATCAATTGCCAACACCCTCTGATTAATTGATTGACGTATTTACCGTAGGCCCTCCACCGCAGATCCAGCCTTTATCTCCAGCCAAACACTCCTCTCTTCTATATTGTCCACCGCAGGCTGTTTAAGCCTAGGGGCTCATAGCTAGCTAGACATAGCCGAGCAATATGTCTAGTCATGAGTTTATTATTAGTGGCTTCGATGCTATGTTCCTTTCTACCCAGAGTTGCCAAGAAGTAAGTTGCATGCATGAAGTTTGGAGTTCAGAGTTTGGTTCACAAGTTTGGAGTAGAGGTACATAGCAGTACATAAGAAACTGAATTTTTGAAGGGGAACATATTTAATGTGCAATACATTTTTTGGGATAACGATATTCTTGTCGGATTTTAATCAAGGAAAATCTTCAAACGAATGAACTGGGGAAAAACTAGGCGGTCGGGGTAGAGGAGCAGGCTAACGCATTTCCTAGGCACGCCTGATTATGAGTTCGAATCCTGGTGTCGAGGGCATTTAACTTCAGCCTTAATGGTCCGATTTCTAATCAGAGGAAACTCGTATTACCGAAAGGAGAGGAGAATAAAGAAAAAAAAATTATAATACTTTTGTTTACACCATTTTTAATATGAGTATTGGGAAGAGAATGAGCATCAGTACCCCATCGGCCTTTGAGGGAATGAACACTCCTGTTTTCGTCTTTTTACTCATTCCGTCAATAGACGTTTGAAATAAGAGTTTTCGTGTTAATTACTTATCACGACTGATTTGAGATTGAGACCAAGAAAGTTTTTTTTTTATTTAGACTTTTGCGTTTGAGGCTCTAATCTCCACTCTCAATCTACTCTGGTAGTGTTGCCCAAAATCGGTCTTGGTCTGCACTTTGCAAGACCAAGACCAAGGCCGCCTAACTGTTGCAAAACCAAGACCAGGACTGGTTTAAAAAAAATCATTTTTTAAAATATAAATTAAGACAAAATTAATACTCGACAATTTTAGTTACTATATGTTAATAATTTGTATAACCAATCAATATACTTTTGCATTTAACTCCTCTAATTTTTCAATCGGGCTTAGTTCGATCTCTTCTATCTAAAAAGTTACAGTAATGTCTCTATAGAAATAAGCTAATAAGTAACTGCAAGACCGTTTCGAGACTCTTGCGCAAGACCAACACCATGACCAAGACTGAGTTTGCTAGACAAAGAGTTGTCTCGGTCTCGCATTTGGCCAACACTTTACCCTGGCTTCCAACTCCAGTATCACGGCTTGAAGATAAGCATTGGGATCTGGAATCTTGCTTTGCATTTTTATATATCTTATATTTATTTTTTTTTTTTTTGTTATTTGTATTCGCCTCTACCCTAGAGGGTCATTGGCGGTTTTTCTTAATTTTTATATTTTACTGCAGTGATTTGTTTCCAATAAATATTCAAAGAGAATGACGATATTTGCCTCATTGTCTCCCAAAATATCTTTCAATGTTGTCGAAAGCTTTAGTTTTTGTCTCTCTTTCTTATATAGGGGGCACTCTAATAGTAAATGCTTGACTGATTGAAGTGTATTGCCACAGTTTTCGCAGGTTGGCGCTTCGAGACCTCTAAGTAGGTATCCGTGTGTAAAAAGGCAGTGTCCGATTCGCATCCGGCACAATATTATTTCTTCTCTTCTCGACCTTCTGAAGCTTGTGGTCCATGTGTTGCACTCGGTTTTTATTTCGGCTAGTTTGGCTCGTTGTATTTTCCACTGACCCTCCCAATTTTTTAATAGCTTTTTTCTTGCTTCATGGATCCAAGAAAGGTGATGTCATTTATTGTTGTTATGCTTGGTAGCTCTCCCTTTTTCGCCAAATGAGCAGCTTGGTCTGCTTTTTCATTACCCATTATACCACTATGGGATGGAACCCAGACAAAGACCACACTTACTGATTTTTTTCTCATCTCCCACCATACGTTTATGATTTCTCTAATGAGAGAGTTGTCAGGCCATGGGTTACCAATGGCCGCCACAACGCTTTTGGAGTCGGTTGCTATGATCCATTTTTTCTCTTTGGAATTCGATATCCATTAAAGGGCCTTTGTTATTCCAATCGCTTCTTCACTGAATATGGAGCACTCTCTTGGTAAGTTGAATAGTAGCTGGTTTGCGGTTGCATGGACAGCGCAACCAGTGCTATTTTCTACTTTAGAGGCGTCGGTGTAAATGACGTTATAACTGTTATAACTTTCTAGTAACCGGAAGAAATAAGTTAGTATTTCTAGTGAGTGATCTTTGGAATATCGAGTCATCGATATGTCTACAGACGGTCTGAATTTCTTCCAGTAAGAAATTTTGAGATCAGGAATGGATCTTATTGTGTTCAGATCCATGTTTGTATCACATAATGTTTGATAGACCGTTAATTTAAATTTGTTTCCTTCTGTGTCTTTATGTATACGCTTTTCGGATTCCTCAATAAACAGTTTTGGTGCTAATGGATGCTGTGGACGGGCTTTCAATTTTGAGACATATTTTATTGATAGATACTTTCGACGGGAGAAGTTCGGAAGGCTCCTGTGCAGATTCTAAGAGCCGCATTGTGGATGGAATCTAGAATTTTTAGTGAGGTCTTGCGGCCTCAATCAAATATATTTTACTCCTAATTACACTATGGTATATTTTGATTAATGTTAGTCTATCGGCTCCCCAAGTTGAATTAGCAATGCACTTAAGAAGTGCTAACCTTTTTGTGCATTCGTCTCTTAAATATTTGATGTGGTGGACC